CTCTCACCGCAGGCTAACAAGTTTGTCCAGCAGGGAGATGAATAGTTGTCTGCTACAGCTATTCATCTCTGTCCTCTGCCTTTTATCCCCAGAGCTAGGCTGGGGCTTCACTGGCAGTGGTGGCTCTTCCCTCCCAAGGACTGTCCCATAGATTTCCACTGCTCTCCTCTCCTCTGCCTTCTTTGCAGTTGCGCATCAGGCACTGGAGCCAGCTGTTCCTCCTCTTCCTCATCAGCCACCTCCAGACCTGGGGGCTGTTGACTCTCCATCTGAGGACTGACAGACGGCCCAGGCTCCGCCTCTTTCTCTCTCTCTCTCTCTCTCTCTCTCTCTCTCTCTCTCTCTCTCTCTCCTCTCTCTCTCTCTCCTCTCTCCTCTCTCCTCTCTCCTCTCTCAGCCAGCTCCATTTCCTCTTCCCCTTTTTGGAGCTCTCAGGTTGCCTTGAGGCTGGCCCTGACTCCCACACTTCCTCCACCTCTTTTGATTTGGCTGCTGGCCGACAGGCTACAACACCTACGCTGCATTTATTCTTGCTTGTATCTGCACTACAAACGGAGCAGGAGAACCGCAATCCTCCTTTTGTGGGAACGAAAGCCAACATGAGAGTCTTGGCATATTTTGAAAACTGAACATCGCTCCTCTTTGGCTCTGAGTTCAGCGATTAATTTTTCTAAAGAGCTGCTCATCCGTTCTTCCTAGCGGCTTGATCAAGCTGTCAGAAACAGATCTCCGAAGCAATTATTGCCAAGGATATTTTCCCTGTCCTTGTCAAAATATGTACGGCGGTGCTTTGATTTGCAGTCAAGAAAGGGTAACCTTTTCTTTCCCCCCCTTTTTTTTGAACATTGCTTTTGACAATGGGGGAATTCAGGGGTCAGATACCAATAAGACGTTTTCGGTCCCAGTGGGGGGAATCATTTCTTTCAAGAATTTGATTGTGGATGAGCACAGTTTAAACTGTGCCAGGTTTATCCAGAAATTTTGGCTCATCATCCGTAGCACCAGGGCTACCTCTGCCATCATGGCACCACAATTTCATTTTTTAAAATCCCACTTTCATTAATCCATAAGTAAGATGGCGAATATATATATAAAAGATATATCTAAAATCTATCTAAAAGAGGAGTCTGTCATCTGCATCTCTATAACTGTCTGGTTTGGCTCTACAACCAAAGAAGACAGACACAGATTTCAAGGATAATTAGAACAGCAGAAAAAAACAATTGCTACCAACCTGCATTCCATGGAGGACCTGCATCCTGCACGAGTCAAAAAGAGGGCTGTGAAAATATCTACAGAGCCCTCACATTCATTCATTCATTCATTCATTCATTCATTCATTTATATTTATTTTTGTCAAAAGCTTACAATACAGAAATAAGAATAAACATAAGTTTAAATATAAGAAATGGGAAATAATAATTGGGGACAATAGGACAGGGATGGTAGGCACGATTGTGCACTTATGCACGCCCCTTACAGACCTCTTAGGAATGGGCTGAGGTCAACAGAGGTTAGTTTGAGGGTAAAGGAGTGGGGAGTTTGAGCAGGTGACAACAGATTCAGGTAGTGAGTTCCAGACATTGACCCCTCTGTTGCTGAAATCGTACTTCCTGCAATCGAGTTTGGAGTGGTTTACCTTAAGTTTATATCTGTTGTGTGCTCTTGTGTTTGTGGTTAAAGCTGAAATATTCATTAACTGGTTACATCCTGGACATAAATTGTTTCAACTTCTACTCTCAAAACGACGCTATAGGGCACTGCACACTGGAACAACTAAACCCATGGACTGAGTTTTCCTGAATGCCATCACTCTGCTAAACAACTAATTCCCACAACATTGTCGAACTTGTCAGCGTTCCAGCAACCCACCACTCCAACCAATAACTCCGAGACAGGCATCTTCTCGAAGGTTCTTTTTATTTGGATAGTAAACTGCCACAACTGGGGAATCCCAAATCTGAAACTTCCGGGCTTCCTTGCAATAAGTAAAAACTACAAATCCATCCCTGCACCCATCATCGCATCACATGCCCCAATCACCATCCGTTCCAACGTAAGACTTCCCCTCACTTATGTGCACAATAACATGACCTTGAATTAGAAAAAGAATGTTATTAGGTCTAACTACATACACTCCAAGAAATTCCCCCCTCCCACTTTCACAGGCTCAAAATATGGCAGCGTGGGAGCATCTGGTCTCAATATGGCTTCCAAAGCTAACAGAATTAATTACTAAGGTTGTATTCTTCTTCTTCTCATCCTTCCTATTATCTATTTCCTTTTCTACTTATGACTATAACTTTATTGCTTGTATCTTTACAATGTATATTGTTTTAGTTTCCTAGTACGATTTATGTTGCTTATTTAGTATCCCATGACTATCACCAAGTATTGCATGAATTCATGATTCATGATGAATGCATTCATGATGACTATGGTCATGATTTATCACTTACGTCTTTGATGTACACTGAGAGCCTATACACCGAAGACAAATTCCTTGTGTGTCCAATTACACTTGGCCAATAAAGAATTCTATTCTATCTTCTATCTTAAATTTGGGTGCTTGGCAACTGGTGTGTATTGATGACAGGTTGCAGAGTCCTGGGGGGTCACGTGATCAGCATTTGCGATCTTCCTAGCCAGCTTCTGACAAGCAAGGAACCAAAATGCACAACTCATTTAACAACTGCAGCGATTTGACCATGGCAAAAAAAAGTCGTAAAACGGGGCACAACTCAGCAACTGCCTTCCTTAACAACGTAAATTTGGGGGCTTCACTGTGATTGTAAGGTGAGGGCCAGCTGCATACCGGTATTTCTCAACCTTGGCAATTTTAAGGTGTATGAACTTCAACTCCCAGAATTCCCCAGCCAGCATGATAGCTGGGCAATTCTGGGAGGCCGAAATCCACACAACTGAAAATTCCCAAGATTAAGAAACACAGAACTGTACAGTTAGAAAAAGGCTGTCATGCAAGCTAAACATTAAAGAATTCTGGTATCAGGAATGTGCTTCTCATTTAGTCCATGTGTAGGAACTCAGCACATTGGGAAATCAATCAGAATAGAGATGGAAGGGACCTTAGAGGTCTTCTAGTCCAGCCCCCTGCTCAAGCAGGAGACCCTAAACTAGTGTTGGTGAACCTTTGGGGGCACCAAGGGATGAAACAGAAGTGCGTGTGTGCACGTGGGACTGCCGGAAATGAGAGGAGCAGCTCGCCAGCGTGCACACGTGGGAGTGCTGGAAACTGAAGAGCAGTCCCCTGGCACGCATGCATGCGCTGGGAAGCTGAGCTTGCCGTTTTCAGCACGCGCATGCGCACCAACCACCTGGTCTTCCGGGTTTCTGGTGTGTGCATGACACACGAAGACCAGCTGTGCTGAAAACTGGAAGCTCGGCTTCCCGGTGCACGCATGTGCAGTGGGGAGCTGCTCTTTTGGTTTCCGGTGCTCCCGCATGCTCAAAGACCAGCTGGTTGGTGTGCACGCATGCGCCGGAACCCGGAAGAGCAACGGGCGATGACTGGCGTGCCCGAAGAGATGGCTCTGCGTGCCACTTCTGGCATGCGTGCCATAGCTTCGCCATCAAGGCCCTATACCATTTCAGACAAGTGGCTGTCCAATCTCTTCTTAAAAACCTCGCATGATGGAGCTCCCACAACTTCTGAAGGCAGCCTGTTCTACTGGTTAAATGTCCTCACTATTAGGATGTTCCTCTATAATTCCAGGTTGCTTCTCTCCTTGATTAGTTTCCATCCACCATCAAGGACAATGGACAAGGCGTTTAAAAGACCAACTTATTCTTCAATATGCTGTAAATTAGATTTAAACAGGGCTCAGTGTGGAAAGCAAGGGACGCGGTAGCTCACTGGCTAAGACGCTGAGCTTGTCGATCAGAAAGGTCGGCAGTTCAGCGGTTCGAATCCCTAGCGCCGCGTAACGGAGGGAACTCCCGTTCCTTGTCCCAGCTTCTGCCAAACTAGCAGTTCGAAAGCACGTAAACAATGCAAGTAGAAAAATAGGGACCCCTTTGGTGGGAAGGGAACGGCGTTCCATGTGCCTTATCGGCGTTGAGTCCTTCTGGCCACATGACCACGGAGACGTCTTCGGACAGCGCTGGCTCCTTCGGCTTTGTAACGGAGATGAACACCGCCCCCTAGAGCCGGAACAGAGTAGCACGTATGTGCGAGGGAAACCTTTACCTTTACAGTGTGGAAAGTCGCCATACGGTAGGGTATAGTGGACCTGAAGCAGTTTGGGGGAAGCGACAGAAATGCAAAAAGCAGAGCGATGGGGGGAAACTCCAAAAGCCATGAATGACAGATCCGAAAAGATTGCAAGAACAACATTCAACTTAAAAGCATCCAGCGGTTTCCCACCGGGGGGGGGGAAAAATGGCCTTGACTCAGAAAAAAACTTGGGCAATCAAAACTGAAGCCAAAGTTGTGATTCTCCATTTCTGAACTCAAACCCCATGCTTAAGATGGGGAAAAAAACCACACACCAGGTAGCACAGACCTTGTGCTATAAAGCAACATACACGTTAACACCTGCGGGGTCAGATTCTGAGTTTCGCTGCTAAGTGGATAAGGTTTACTACAGACTTACCTTAAGTCTGCTGCTATCAAATTAAAGCCATTGTAAAGGTGTCCTTCCAAGGCCACTTTCTTCAAGTAAGAGTAACTGTCCATTTCTGAGGTCAAGAAATTGGTGACCAGGGCACCTGCAAAGAAAGGAACATAACAAGGGGTTTATAACTAGGGAGTTGGTTTGTAATGCTACTGCTTTAAGGCAGGCAGAGGAGAAGATGGTTAGGTCAACTTCATGCCATCTGGCAAAATGCTGATTAGAACAGAAGAATTATCACTCTTATTGACCAGCGGAGCAATAAAAGCCAACCCTCTCAATTAGAGGGCCATTTGTTTAATAAATACAATATCTCAGTAACGCAATAAATATTTGCCGGCTGCGCAATATAATGGGTTGACCACGGAGCTTGGTGAGGAAAAAAAAAGCTTTAGTTTTTAAGCCATAGATTGTGTTTATTTTAGCAGAATGCCGCAGTTCCTGTTTCAATGAAAGTATTAACACTTGCCTGCTTTTAGTTTATTCAACTCCGTGTTTGCAAAATATCTTTATTGGGGATGGGAGAGCCAAAGAGACCTTGGAAAGATAGAAGGCTTAGTCAACCTTGAGCTGGTCAGGATCTAACCGCCGGCCGTGAGCAGAATTAGCTTGCCATACTGCATTATAACCACTGTACACCTTGAAAAGAAGGGAGGGAGGGAGGGAGGGAGGGAGGGAGGGAGGGAGGAAGGAAGGAAGGAAGGAAGGAAGGAAGGAAGGAAGGAAGGAAGAGCACTAGCAATAGCCCTTAGACTTTTATACCACTTCATAGTGGATTACAGCCCTCTCTAAGCAGTTTACAGAGTCAGCTTCTTGCCCCCAACAAGCTGGGTCCTCATTTTCGGTCAGGATTGAACTGTTGGCAGTCAGCAGAATTAGCCTGCAATACTGCATTCTAACCACAAGGAAGGAAGGAAGGAAGGAAGGAAGGAAGGAAGGAAGAAGGGAAGGGAAGGGAAGGAAGGAAGGAAGGAAGGGCAATTGCACTAGCAATAGCCCTAAGACTTATATACTGCTTCACGGTGCTTTACAGCCCCTCTCTAAGCAGTTTACAGGGTCAGCCTCTTGACCCCAACAAACTGGGTCCTCATTTTACTGACCTCGGAAGGATGGAAGGCTGAGTCAACCTTCAGTCAGTCAGGATTGAAGGAGGCAATGTGAGTGGAGTTAGCCTTCAATATTGCATTCTAATCATCAGGGCTCCCTCTTTAACTATAGACGGTAATTACAGTTTTTAATTATATAATTGTTGTTGTTAGTTGCAAAGTCATGTCCGACCCATCGTGACCTCTACCGTCTTCTGGAGTCTATTTAAGCTCACGCCGACTGCTTCAGTGACTCCATCCAGCCACCTCCTCCTCTGCCATCCCCTTCTTCTTCTATTGCCCTCCATCGTTCCCAGCATTAGGCTCTTCTCCAGTGAGTCTTTCCTTCCTTCTCAAGAGGTGGCCAAAGTATTTGAGTTTCATCTTCAGGATCTGGCCTTCTAAAGAGCAGTCAGGGTTGATCTCCTCTAGGACTGACCAGTTTGCTTTATTACAGTTACAGAGGATAAACATTTTTTTTTCTTAGTTAAGCAGGTTGTCAACTAAAAAAATACACCTTTGGTCTTTTTTAGTTGCCAGCAGGAAAGGAGTAGAGAAAAGCAGTGCATTCCTTAAATGCCTCAGATAATCGCCTTGGCAGCCAAAGCTGTTCGCAAATAAGATTATTACTGGAGAGCATGAATAATGACTCTCGGCTATTGATGTGTCTCATTGGAGAACATACATCCAGGGGGTGGGGGGAAAGACCAGGGTCAAGGGTGAAATGAGTGATGTGTCAGAGTTGGCTGCAACCAGGAAACGCAGACATGTCAACTCCTAATCAATCAGGCTTTTTTACTCTGAGAAATGCCACTAGAGACTTGTGATTTGAATGGGGGTTCATGTTGGAGCCCTGACATGATATCCCACCAGCTTCTCATTTCCTACGACATACTTGCCTCTTCCTTTTGCATGCTTGTTGATCTGAGGCTGCATGTAATTGGTCAAGGCGGCCATCTTGCCTTTCTTGCTGATTCCAAGCCAGGACCCACCTTCTTTCCCTTCTTCCATATCCAAGCCTGCCATTAACAACAACAACAACAACAACAACAAAAATGAATCACCTGGGCACCATTAAGCAACGTCTGGTTGATAACCAACAAACAGCACTCAAAACCGGGGAGTGATTTCTTGGTGTGAGGACAGGAAAGGTGTATAGGAAGTCCTTGACTTACGACCACAGCTGAGCTCAAAGAAGCCCCGTTTTACGAACTTTCTGGCCACCGTAGTTAAGTGAATCACTGCAGTTCATCAGTGAATCACCTGGTCGTTAAGGGAATCTAATTTCCCCATTGAGTTTGCTCGTCAGAAGGTTGCAAAAGAGGGACCTCAGGACGCAGTAACGGTCATAAGTGTGAACCAGTTGCCGAGCCTCTGAATTTTGACCGCGCAATCATGCAACGGTCGTAACTGCGAAAAACAAGTTGTAAGTCCCTTGTTTTCACTGCCGCGGCAACTTTGGACGGTCACTAAACGAACTGTTGCAAGTCGAGGACTACCTTTTAAAGTTAGTTAAAAAAAGTTAAAGTTAAAAAAGTTAAAGGTAAGTTAAAAAAAATACACTAAGGCGATGTAAAACAGTTTTCACAAAAGCGGAGATGAAGAAGCAGAAGATAAACTACCCACTTTCTTGAGAAGATTGACAGTTCAAGGCCTTAAAAAAACCAAGGGCACGCACGCACACACACACACACACACACACACACAGCTCAGAGAGAGGATAAATACATCAAAACAGACCAGAATGCTTTTAAAATTCAAATTTCAACCCTTCCTCGCTAAGCACTGCTCTGTATAAATAAGGGAGAAGAGGGGCAGCCCATACTCGCCAAGAATTCAGAATGGAAACCAGACTTTTAGAAAGTTAAAAAGAAAGAAAGAAAGAAAGAAAGAAAGAAAGAAAGAAAGAAAGAAAGAAAGAAAGAACTTTGGGGCAGACAGAAAGAGTGAGAGAATAATTTATCCTCCGCAGGATCCCTGCCAAAGACAACAACGTTAAGCAGAAGAGACGAATCTTCACAGAGGTTTTTTTTTTTTTAAAAAAAACAAACCGCCATGGTCTGACTGTTCCAATCTCATTTTTATTTATGTGTACACTGGAACATGTACTTTAGGATGGCTAGGCAGGAGAGAGTGAGTGAGAAAGAGCGGAAGGAAGGAAGGAAGGAAGGAGGGGCAGAGACTGGAAATGGTTATCAAGTGAGGAATGCAATAAATATTTCGGTTTTTTAGGGAGAGAGAAAGAGAGAGGGAGAAAGAGAGAGGGAGAAGGAAGGAGAGGGAGGGAGGGAGGGAGGGAGAAGGAAAGAGAGAGGGAGGGAGGGAGGGAGGGAAAGAGAGAGAGAAAGATCTACAGAAATGCTTCTAAAATGGGTAGCATTGGGTCTGCTGAAGCTGCGCACTTGAAAAATAAAAATCATGGGATTTCAAGGGGCCCCACTAAAACGCTGCTCTGTAACCTTCCTTCCTTCCGCTCTTTCTCGCTCACTCTCTCCTGCCTAGCCATCCTAAAGTACCTGTTCCAGTATGCACATAGCTACAACCCTCATTAAGGAATATTATTTCAGGGAAAGCCAGTTTGGTGTAGGCCAGAAACCAGGAGACTCGGGTTTCTAGCCCTGCCTTAGCCATGAAAGCCAACTGGATGACTTTGGGCTGATCGCCAGGAGACGTTGAGTTAAGCAACTCACCACGGTTGTTAAGTGAATCAGGTGGCCATAAGTCTGAATCTAGTTTATAAAAAGAGCATTTTTTAACCTTCACCCCCCACCCCCCCACCCAGAAAACATAAAAAAATATATCCCAAAATTCAATCACAGGACCAGGACAACCAGCCAGTTGCTATGCACCCAAAATGCATCCATGTGACTGCAGAGATCAGTGCAGCAGTCCTAACTTCAAGGACGGCTTATAAATAACTTTCTTTGAGGCTGTTATAAATTCGAACATTCGTTAAGTGACCAGCCGTAAGTCGAGATATCAACTCATAAAACACTACTATAGTCTTTTTAGGGTTGCCAACAGAAAGGGAGGGGGGAGCAGGTGGCAGCTTGCAAACTGAAAGTGCATTCCATAAATGTTTTCAAAGATAGTAACTAGTTGACCGAAGTTTCTGCCACACAAAATTCTAGCTGGAGAGCACGACTGATGGCTCTTGGCTATGGATGTGTCCCATTGGAGGATACGTATTACGATACACTGAGGGGGTGGGGGAAAACCAGGTTCAAGGGTGGCAATGAATGATGTGTCTCAGAGTCGGCTACACCCAGGCACTGCCGGACATGTTAACTCCCAATAAATCCTTTTGAAGTTTTGGAAGTTTGGCTCGAGACTCATGATTTAATTGGGGGTAACTGCCGGAATCCTGACAGCTAGCCGATTGAGACTCATTGCTTGACTTAAACACATACCCAGAGAGCACTATACGTACCACTGAGAATCTCACTGCTATTGTCCCAAAAATCGGCGGATTTGGAGGGCCTGTGGTAATATTCATCTCTGTTAGCTGCTAGGATAAGCCTGTAGGGAAAGAAGAGAAAATCTGTGATTGCACTGAAAAACGACGTTTGTTTTATTACTTCAGCTGCATGAAAGGAAAAAAAAAAAAGGAACTGTTGTTACATGTCACCCTAAGCAAGCTTAACTAGGGTTTGCTGAATAAGGCGTAATAATCAGAGCTTGCTTATGACCCTGAGCCACGATGCGGTGCACTTGGATTCAACAGGTCTTATATTCTTCAGATTTTTTTTTAATTGTTTCCATGTTTTCTACATCGTTTTAATCATTTTACAATTTTGGAACTGTAAGCTGCCCAGAGTTGCCTGGATGGGTTGGGCAGCTATAGAAACTGGAAAAAAAAAATGCAGAACATGAGCTCAGTCATTTTTAGGCTAACTGCAGAGATGGAGAGTCCTTGATTTAGGATTGCAATTTTAACCTGGATTCCTGTCTGTTTTGCCAACACCCAGATCCTGGATTCAAGATCTGCTCTATGTTTGATGATCTTTCTAGCACTAAAGAGGAATTCCCTGACTAGAACGAAGAGGAAATTTCCTGAGAGTTAGAACAATTAATCAGTGGAACAACTTGCCTCCAGAAATTGTGAATGTTGCAACACTGGAAATTTTGAAGAACAGGTTGGACAGCCATTTATCTGAAGTGGCGTAGAGTTTTCTGCCTGAGCACGGGGTTGGACTAGAAGACCACCAAGGTCCCTTCCAACTCTTCTATTCTATTCTATTCTATTCTATTCTGTTCTGTTCTGTTCTGTTCTGTTATTCTATTCTGTTCTGTTCTGTTCTGTTATTCTATTCTATTCTGTTCTGTTATTCTATTCTATTCTATTCTATTCTATTCTGTTCTGTTCTGTTCTGTTATTCTATTCTATTCTATTCTATTCTATTCTATTCTATTCTATTCTATTCTGTTCTGTTCTATTCTGTTATTCTATTCTGTTCTGTTCTGTTATTCTATTCTATTCTGTTCTGTTCTGTTCTGTTATTCTATTCTGTTCTTGTTTGTTATTCTATTCTATTCTATTCTATTCTATTCCATTCCATTCCATTCCATTCCATTCCATTCCGTTATTCCTATTCCTATTCCATTCCATTCCCAGACATGCTGGGGGGGGGGGGGGGGGAGGAGAAAGAAGCCAATTAAACAGATTTCTCTTAGTCTTATTTGAAGATTCAAGGGGTTGAATCTGTGACCTCCTATGCGTTCTACCATGCAATTACAGCGTTGCCGGGAAGTGTCAAGAAAACTCCTGCGAAAATTTGGGCGACACCCACACAGCCCAGCCGAGTTAATTAATGCAATCGCACCACTGCTGCCAACAAGCAGCCGGCTGTCGCCTTGAAGCAGTTTCCTGATCATATTTGGTTTATTTTTTTATTCGTACTCTGTCGAAACACATCCATTGAAGAACGTGTGGCTTTGAACGGACCTATGTGCCTCAAAATCGGTTTCATCCACCGAGGCAAGAAATACAAAGGCTAACAAAGGAGAACAAAAAGATGGGTGAACGCTATGAAGCTTACCTTGGTTTGGAGAAATAGGCCTAAGGTTTGCAAAGCCATTGGCATTTGCCAACGCACTCCTTTCCTGGCTCAGATAAACTATGGTTTCTGAGAGCTGGCTTACGCCAGCAAGCCAATCCCAAGTCTAAAAAGAGGACTCTTACTTATTTTGTCAAGCATGTGTTAGATAACATGTGTAAATATAAACGTGATTATTAATACATGAAATGGATACGAATAAAAGGGAACATTAGGACAGGGACGGTAGGCATGCTGGTGTGCTTATGCACGCCCCTTACAGACCTCTTAGGAATGGGGGGAGGTCAACAGTGGACAGTCTGAGATTAAAGTGTTTGGGGTTTGGGGAAGAAACCACAGAGTCAGGTAGTGCATTCCAGGCATTGACCACTCTGTTGCTGAAGTCATATTTCCTGCAATCAAGTTTGGAGCAGTTAACATTGAGTTTGTATCTGTTGTGTGCTCTTGTATTGTTGCGGTTGAAGCTGAAGTAGTCATTGACTGGTAGGACATTGCAACGGATAATTTTATGTACTACGCTTAGGTCAAACCGAAGGTGGTGTAATTCTATGTTGTCTAAACCTAAAATTTTTGTTCCGTTTTTTTTAGAATTTTTTTAAAATAAATTTTATTGAATTAACATTACGAACAATTGAACACAATGCAACTTTCTTGGCCATCATTTTGGCCATACAAACTATAGCATACAGATACACATAACAGTTAATTTCCTTTTTTCCCCTGTGTTATTAGTATAGTGCTAGCTGCATGTTATTTCTATTTAAGCCTAAAATTTCAAGTCTGGTGGCATAAGGTATTCCGTTGCAAGCAGAGGAGTGAAGGACTCTGGGTTCAAAATATTGTGGTTTCAGTTAGGATGGAAATAAATGGACGAGTTCACTATGTGCAAAAGAACTGTTTACCTATGGCTTGCTGAACAAACCTTGGCAAATCTAAGGTTTATTTATTGCCTTCTTATTTAGCTGCTGTGGCTTTAACTTTCAGTGAAGAAGTTTAAGCAAGCCATAAAAACAAACCCGGATTATCCCAGGTAAGCACAAACAAACATCTGTGCCTGTTGATAAACCACTTTTTTTTTTTAAGGGGCAACTGCACCAAGTAAAACAACTGCAGTTCCAAATGCAGGCAGTCCTCGACTTACGGCCACAATCAAGCCCAACTTTCTGTCACTAAGCAAGGCAGCTATTGAGAACTTTTTTGCCCCGTTTTACAGCCACAGTTGTTAAGCAAATCCTTGCAGCTGTTAAACTAGTAACAAGGTTGTTCAGTGAATCTGGCTTCTTCATAGACGTTGCTTGTCGGAAGGTCGCAAAAGGGGATCACATGACCCTGGGACATTGCAACCGTCATAAATATGAGTCAGTTGCCAAGCGTCTGAATTTGGATCACGGGAACGTGGGGATGCTACAATGGTTGTGTGTGAGAAACAGTCAAAGGTCACTTTTTTCAACAAACAAGCTCAGAGAGCACCAAGGATTAGATTAACAGAGTTGGAAGGGACCTTGTAGGTCATCTAGTCGAACCTCCCCTGCCCAAGCAGGAGACCCAACCCCATTTCTGACAGATGGATGTCCAGCCTCTTCTTAAAAGCCTCCAGGGATGAAGCTCCCACAACTCCTGCAGCAGGCAACGTCTTAGTTCATTGGTTGATTGTTCTCCCTGTCAGAAAGTTTCTCCTTATTTCCAGGTTGAATCTCTCCTTGATCAATTTCCACCCATTATTCCTTGTCTGGCCTTCGGGTGCTTTGTTTGGAGAATAGCTTGACCCCTTCCTCCTCTCTGTGGCAGCCCCTCAAATATTGGAAGACCGCTATCCTGTCTCCCCTGGTCCTTTTGTTCATTAAAATCAGATTAAAGTCAGATTAACAGAGTCGGAAGGGACCTTGTAGGTCATCTAGTCCAATCCACCCACCCAAGCAGGAAACCCTACACCATTTCTGACAGATGGCAGTCCAGTTACTTCTTGAAAGCCTCCAGTGATGAAGCTCCCACAACTTCTGAAGGCAAGTCATTCCATTAAATATAGAATAACAGAGTTGGAAGGGACCTTGTAGGTCATCTAGTCCAAGCCCCCGTCCAAGCATGAGACCCTACACCATTTCTGACAGAAGGCAGTCCAGTCTCTTCTTAAAAGCCTCCAGTGATGAAGCTCCCACAATGTCTGAAGGCAACTTCTGTTCCATGGGTTGGTTGTTCTCACTGTCAGAAAACTTCTCCTTATTTCCAGCTTGAATCTCTCCTTGTTCAGTTTCCATCCGTTGTTCCTTGTCTGGCCTTCAGGTGCTTTGGAAAATAGCTTGACCCCCTTCCTCCTCTCTGGGGCAGCCCCTTAAGGACACCTCACAAATATTCTCCTTTATTAGTACTTTTTTCAAGGCCGTTGTAACTTTGAATGGTCACTTAAGGAATTATTGTAGACAACCTGTAGTGATTTACTATCCAAAATGAAAGCTAGTTCTATTCCCATTTCAATTCTTGGCTACAAAAATAGGGGGGGGGGGGGGAGAAGCATTATCAAGATAGAGCACGGAAATCCATAAGCTAGAATCCATTCCTGTCAGCGAAATCACAACTGTTTGTGGATATACTGAAGCTGTGCCCTGCCTGATTCACAAATAATGGGTTAGCATTATATGTGGATCACCGTTTGTTGTATCAGGAAACACCCAAACGCATCATGACTTTGTACTGTTAGTCAGTCAGGTTGTTTATTCAAATAAGACAGCAACTTCCTTCAGATATAGGGAAACTGATTCAGATACATACTGGGGAAGACATCCATTTTTAAGGTAGCCTCAGCAAAAATCAGCCACAGCAAAAATTAAATTCTCTAAGTAATTTATAAGAGCTCCAAAACAAGCTGTACAACCTTGACGAGCACAAAGATTTATGCAACTTCTGACTCTGTGTGTGTGTGTGTGTGTGTGTGTGTGTAGATGGAAATTGAAGAATTTGTACTACCGAAGCAATTTCCTGTGACATAATTCAGTTCCATAAAAAAAAGATTATGAGATTATAGCTCCGAAACATAAAACCTATATTTACAAACAGCAGCAATTTGTACTACCAAAATTGGATTTATGAAGGCCTCTGCAAACAGGAACACATTGAAACGAGAGGCACTTATTTACAACATGAAAAATAGAGACTGTTATAAAGGAGGGAACACAGAGTGCACCGGATGTGGCCTAATTATAACTCAGTTGCTCTACCAACGAGCCGGTACGGGCAGTTCTCGACTTATGACCAAAACTGAGCCGAAAATTTCCATTGCTTAAGGAAGAAAGTTGTTAAGTGAGTTTTAGTACTTGGCACTTAAACTTATATACCACTTCACAGTGTTTTCCAGCCCTCTCTGGAAGTGGTTTATAGAACCTCTTGCCCCCGCAACAATTGGGGTCCTCGTTTTACCCACCTCAGAAGGATGGAAGGCTGAGTCAACCTTGAGCCATTCAGGATCGAATTCCTGGCAGTTGGCAGAGTTACCTTTCAATACTGCATTCTAACCACTGTGCACGATGAGTGGGTGGATGGATGGGAGGGAAGCAGGGAAGGAGGGAAGGAAGGAGGGAGGGAGGGAGGGAGGGAGGGAGGGAGGGAAGGAAGGAAGGAAGGAAGGAAGGAAGGAAGGAAGGAAGGAAGGAAGGAATAGCAATAGCACTTAGACTAATATACCGCTTCACAGTGCTTCACAGCCCTCTCTAAGCGGTTTACAGAGTCAGCATCTTGCCTCCAACAATCTGGCTCCTCATTTTACCGACCACGTCGTAAGTGTGAGAAATGGACATCGGTCACTTTTTTTCAGTGCCTTTGCAACTTCGAACAGTCAGTCAGTGAACTGCTGTAAGTCAAGGACTTCCTGTGGCTGCAATGGGGAGGGGGTAAGAATATCTGCTTTCTCTCTCTCTCTCTCCCCCTTCAGCTGCTACATCCTTAATCCCGGCAAACTCCCCATACAACATTATTCCTGGTAGATCTTTATGCTCCGGCAAGTGTATAGAGGCAAAGGTGCTGGGTCTTAAGCCACGAAGGGCTTTACATATTTTGCTGCAGATAAATGGAACATGGAGCTTTTAAGGAGGGGTTGATCTTAAAAGCCTGAGCTTGGATTTCTGCACCAGCTGAACAGATAAAGGAAAGACGGGCCAGTACGTTCTCAGTCACAGGCTGGTTTTATGGAACAACAAATAAATAAAATAAGAGATTTAAGCTCTGCATCTATATTTGCATTTTCCCCCCATGTGTTTTACACACAGTCCGTTATCCAGGTTTCACAGACAATTCTAATCCTGATGCCTTTGCTCAGGGTTAAAAAAAAGAGAGAGAAGGGATTTCCTTTAAAAACCTAATAATTTGTGTTTTGAAAAACGCGAAATGTTTGCCCAGGAGGCGAGTCCTTCAAATTATAACAGTTCATTTAGTGGCCGTTCCAAGTTACAACAGCACCAAAAAAGGGGACTTTAGTTAGGGCCCTTTTTCACAGTTAAAAACCTTGGTAGCTTCCCTATGACCACGTGATCAAAATTTAGATGGTTGGCAACTGTTGAGGTCACGTGATTCCCCTTCTTGCGACCTTCTAGCGAAGTCCGTGGGATAGCCAGATTCGTTTAACAACTGAGTTACTAAACTTATCAGCTGCAGTTGACAACGGTGGCAAGAAAGTTTGTAAAATGGGGCAAAACTCATGTCAGCTTTGGAAGCCATATTAGCCCCAGAGGCTTCCACGCTGCCACATTCTTGAGCCTGGGAAAATGGGAGGGGGGGTGGATTTGTTGGAGCGTATGTGGTTAGACATAATAGCATTCTTTTTTTACAGTCAAGGTCATGTTATTTCTGCACCTGGTGGAGAGGACGTCTCAAGCTGGGATGGATGGTGATTGGGGCATGTGATGGAACGATGGGTGCAGGGGGGTGGATTTGTAATTTTTTTTTACTTATTGGAGGAAAACCTGGAACTTTCAGATTCGGGTTTTCCAAGGTGTGCCAGTATACCTACTCTAATCAAAGGAAACGTTGAGAGAATGCCTGTCTCTGAGTTTTTAATTGGGTTTTTCTGGAACGCTGACAACTCACTTAGCAAATGTCTCACTGAACAACAGAAATTTTGGGCTTCATTGGGGTCGTATAATTCTAACTCGTTTGGTATTTACCACATACGAGTGTCTCCTTGGTGGAATTATTTTCTGTTCTGCAGATTTACTTAGTGGTTTGTCATTTCCTAGCTTCTTTGTTGCCTAGTATTCCTACGCAATTGCCTGCATTATATCCTTCATTAGATTTATCTCACCAGGTTTCTGGCATCTTTAAAGAAAAAAAGAAAAAACCCCCACACAGCATGAAACCTGAAAGGTACCCCACAATAAACCTCAGGGGACAAACATTTCTACCAGTTATTTGTAAGCAAATTCAGGCATTTATGATAAATACCTATCAATACCAAATGCATGCACTTGTAAGAAGAATGTATCTAAAGCAGACAGGAAAAAATAATAATCACCTTACACTGGAAGATAAAATAAATATCATTGAAATAGAAACATTTAACTCAAAAAAAGTATCTTACACGGAAAGCATTCAGGCAAAACAATAGCAAACCGAGCAAATTTTTACAGAAGCTCTAATTCGGAAGTGACATTGTAACATTTGTGGACAAATATGGTACATTACATAGTTTCCCTGGATGTACTGGTAAATTATGTGGAGTCAAGGCTTAAAAACTAGTTTGCCAGACTAGACTGCCATTCATGGCATGGTGTCATGTGTGAAAAACAAGCACTGTAATCCAGTTTAGGATAAGGGGATCCCCCAGGCAAAGGTTTGTTCAGCAAACTTTGACAAAACCAATCACAGTGGGCCATCAGCTGGAATGGAATGGAATGAATCAGGATAGAGAATAGAATAGAATAGAATAGAATAGAATAGAATAGAATAGAGGAGGGGAGAGGAGAGGAGAGGAGAGGAGAGGAGAGGAGAGGAGAGAAAATATGGAATGGCCTGGAACAGAACAGAATAGAGAATAGGAATAGAATTAGAATTAGAATTAGAATATAGACTAGAATAGGAATTAGGAGAGGAGAGGAATTGCAATAGAATATAGAATAGGATATGATAGAATTAGAATAGAATATAGAATAGAATAGGAATTAGAATAGAATATAGAATGGAATAGAATATAGAAGAGAGAGAAGAGAAAATATGGAATGGCCTGGAATAGAATAGAATAGAAAATAGGATAGAATTAGAATATAGACTAGAATAGGAATTAGGAGAGAAGAGGAGAGGAATTAGAATAGAATATAGAATAGGGTAGGGTAGAATTAGAATTAGAACAGAATATAGAATAGAATAAGAATAGAATATAGAATAGAATAGAACAGAATAGAATATAGAATGGAGTAGAAAATACAAAAGAATAGAATAGGAATAAGGATAGGATAGGATAGAATAGAATTAGAGCAGGATAGATAGAATAGGAAAGGAAAGGAAAGGAAAGGATAGAATAGAATAGAATAGAATAGAATAGAATAGAATAGAATAGAATAGAATAGAATAGAAATAAGAATAAGAACAGAACAGAACCGGATGCAGTATTCCAAGCGTGGTCTTAAGAAGGCATCATAAAGTGGTATTAAGACTTCAAAAGATATTCTCTCCTAATCCACAAGTCAGAAAGGTTTCAGCAGACAAAAGCAGAGAGTCAGAGACTCATTTAAGAATCCCAGAGCATCCCTGCAATTGTTTAGCCACGATGGGATTTTCAAACTCTGGCAAGAGCGACCACAAGCATATCAACAAAGAGATGGTGGAGCGGAATTGCACATTACCTGTAGGCATTTTTGGACACAGGACGTGGGTCAAACTTAAAGAAAAGAATGCACATGGGTTACGGATGAGGGGGGGGAAAGTTGAGCTTCCTTGCAGAGGTGGTCAGTAGAAGGTCATCCTTCCAGGGGCCTGCTGCAAATGAAACACGGGACAGTTGATCAGACTCAGAAATTGTTAAGTTCATCCTGGTTTGTGAGGCCTCTTACACACTCCAGGTGGTTCTCCACTTACAACAGCTCATTTAGTGATTGTTCAAAGTCACAGTGACCCTGAAATAAAAGTGACTTCTGACCATCTTTCACACTTATAACCATTGCAGCCTTCCCATGGTCACTTGATCGAAATTCAGACACTTGGTAACTGACTCCTATTTATGACAGTCGCAGCGTCCTGGGGTCACATGATCCCCTTTTACGACCTTGTGACAAGCAGAGTCAAGAGGGAAGCCATTCTCAGCCAGTCCTTGAAGATTTGTCCTGAAATGAATTATCCCTAAATGCTATCAATCCTATAACATGTCTATATCCCTACCCTATTCCAACCCTCACTAACTGATCCCTACCTGGTGCCACCTTCACCATGTTTTAATCTAAGGCTTAATTACCACCTGTATGTGCCCCAACCCCCCTTTTAACAATATGCACCACATCAATACATGAAAAGAGCCAGTTCCAACAGCCCCGCAGTTGCTTCAGAATCCATCCTCCATCCCCGCAGTTGTTGCAGAATCCATCCTCAGCTCTGCTGAGTCATTCCAAAGCCATCGGCCAGCACACAAGCCAGATTCACTTAACAACCATGCTGCTAACTTAATTGCAGTGGTCCGCTTAACAACGGTGGCCAGAAAGGTTGCAAAATGGGGAAAACTCACTTAACAAATGTCTCACTTAGGAACAGAAATTTGCTAAGTGGTCGTAGGTTGAGGACTACCTGTACAAGGGGCTGGTAACCAAAGATCAGCAGTGATTAATTGTGACAACTGAAGAAACTATCGAGCATGCAAGCTTTAAGGTATATTTGGTCCTGTGTGTTAAAACATCTAAGAAATAATTCTAGCTTAATGCTCTTTAATATTCCAAGTTAGAACATGGTGCCCCAAAAATTATAATTCAGGGGTTAACCACCAAGTCTGCACCAAATTTCCAAATCTAGGTGTCATTTTTGGCACTGTTAGTCAGGTAAAGGTGTTGGATAAAGCTATTTTCATGAACTCCTGGAGGCCAGCCTGGATTAAGGCAGCTGCCTTTAAACCCAGGTAGTCCTCGACTTATGATAGTTCATTTAGTGACTGTTCAAAGTTACATGGCTGAAAAAAACTGATTTATGATCATTTTTTTCCACACTTAACGACTTGCTGCCTCCCATGGTCCCATGATCAAAATTCAGGCGCTTGGCAAGTGATTCGCATTAATGACGGTTACAGTGTCCCAGGATTATGTGATTTTTGAGACTTTATGGCAAGCACATTCAATGGGGAAGCCAGGTTCACTCAACAACCGTATTGCGAACTTAACAGCTGCCGCGATCCCTTTAACAACGGTGGCCAGAAATACTGTAAAGTGGGGCAGAATTTACCTAACAAACGTGTCTCGCTTAGCAACATAAATGTTGGGCTCAAATTATGGGTCACAAGTCAAGGACTAAGCTACATCTCGCCCCTGTCGTTACCCAACCAGGTTTAAAGATTCTGGCCACGTGTGAATAGTGTGACCAATGGCCTTTTCAAATCAGGAGCTTGTTAAGTATTTTCCACGCTGCCCCACTGGGAACGGTACCTCACAATAAAACAACGGTGTGCATTTTCAACTCCTTCCAAACGAAAACAAGGATTAAAATGCGAGGAACTGAAACAACCACCCGTACGCCTCCCAAACAGAACTAGCTTGGCTGTATCAAGAGCTTTCCAGAATGCAGAGACGCAGGGGAAACAAATCAATAGCTGAACTCCGAGCAGCTCGGCATAATTGACCTAACCTTGCCCCAGTGAGCGATGATCAAGCGGTTTTATTGAAAACAAATTAAATTACTTTTATGAGCCCAAGAGCATGGCTACAGAGAAGAAGGAAAAAAAAAAAAGAGATCACTTCCCATGCCTACGCTAGGGACTCGGCTTCTCCTTTCAAGATCTGTGGTTGTGTCTTCCTCAATCAGTACCTATAATTTAAAATTCCAACAGGGGAAAAAAAAAAAAAAGACATTTTCCACAGTGTTTCACCTGGCTTGGAACGGCACCAAAAAAAAAATAACATTTAATCGCTCTGCTTGTTACTACAGAGATGCATTTGGCTACAAAAATGCCAAGGCCAGCATCAAAAGGAATGTGTGTTTCTGTTTCTGTTCCAGAGATTGAAATGAACAACGATTGTACTTTTTATCAGGGAGGTAAAATTAATCGTGCCTTCCATCGTGTTTAAAAATAAATCCATTTGCTAACCAGATTTGAAGGTCTCTGGAGCTGTGCCCAAGGCATAGCACCAGGTGATAAGAGCTTTCAGTATTGCAGGTAGTCCTCGACTTACGATCACAACTGAGCCCCAAATTTTTTTTTGCAATTGTTAAGTTGGTAACCCAATTGTTAAGTGAATCTGGCTTCTCCACTGACTTTGTCAGACAGTCGCAAGAAGCAAATCTCGTGACACACACACACACACACACACACACACATCGGGATGCTGCAGCCGTCATAAATGTGAACCGGTTGCCCACATCTGAATTTTGATCACATGAGCATAGGGATGCTGGAACGGTCGTAAGTCACTTTTTACAGGGCCGTTGTAACTTTGAAGGGTCACTAAATGAATGGCTGTAGGTCAAGGACTACCTGTATTTTAGTGCAGGTAGCCCGCGACTTAACAGCTCGTTTAGTGACCGTTTGAAGGTACAACGGCTCTGAAAAAAGTGACACATGACTGTTCTTCACAGTTATGACCTCTGCAACATCCCCACTGTCATGTGATCAAAATTCGGACGCTTGTCAACTGACTCATATTTATGACGGTCACAGTGTCCCAGGGTTTGGGTGGTGCGGTGGCCTAGAGGTGGAGCTCTCGCCTCACAATCGGGAGCCTGTGAGTTCGATCCCAGGTAGAGGCAGATATTTCTCTCTCTGAACACCATGAGAATATATCTGCTGAACAAAACTCCATATCTGCGACAGGAAGGGCATCCGGCCAGAAAACACTTAGTTCCATTCAGTGGCCCAGACTCCGCCCTGCAAGGGATTATGGGGATGATGGCAGTGTCCCAGGGTTACGTGATTCCCTTTTGCAACCTTCTGACAAGCAAAGCTAATGGGGAAGCCAGAATCACTTAATAACCCTGTTACTAACTCGGCACCTGCAGTGATCCACTTAACAACCGTGACAAGGAAAGTCATAAATTCGGGCAAACTCACTTAAGAAACGTCTCGCTTAGCAAACATAAATTTGGGGGTCAATTATAATGGCAACTTGAGGACTACTTACGGTGTAGGTACGTGCATGGGTAGCCCTCCCCAACGTAGATTTTCTCCCTTCAGCTTTCCATTTGCAACGTTCTCGTTCAATGTATTTTTTTTTCCCACCTAGAATGCGTTCAAAGATACGGGACTTTTAAAGCAGATGATGATGAAATGTGCTGGGATATTAAGAAAGGTATTAAAAACGCAGAGCCAATGGAAGCTGGCTGCAGGAAAAATAAAATGTGCTGAAAGCAATATTAAAAAGCAGGCTAGTAGAGCCAGATGCTTTATAAGACACTGGCATTCTGCAATTTAACAGCAAATGGTATTATTAAATCACTGCTTGAGTCTTGAGATTAAACAAGCAGATATTAGCTACCGCCCTCTACTGTCAATAGCCAAGATTGCCTTGGTCAACAGAAGAATAATGGGGGGAAAATGGGGAGAATCATGGCTGGAAAAAACCCCAAAATTGCTAAGCATTGGCAAAAGTGTGTTCAAACACTTTAAAGTGATGTTTCTCAACCGTGGCAACTTTAAGATGGGTGGATGTCAACTCCCAGAATAATTCCTCAGCCAGCTATTCTTATAAATATTGTTATAAACCATTCTTTATTTAAATCATGGATGCTGATTAAGCCACAATGGCTGGTTGACATAGTTGATGGCTTATTTAACAACTCATTAATCAAACCATAGTTTATTGTAATGTTCCCTGGGATTAAATAAATAGGGATTTTTATGGTCATAATTGAGTCTTCAGTCAAGCAGGCTAGCCTATCAAATTTAAATCTCTGTGTGTTGCACTGCGGAGTCCAGACAACCTAATTACATCTTAAAACAAAATTTCTTGGTCAAAACCTGCGGATTTATAGAAACCCCCATTCCCATAATTCCATTCTTTCATATATATCATCATCACACATCATCACAAAATCTCCAGAACTGTAAAGCCTACAAACATGAAATTTGGCATGTATGTTCCTCTTGGCTTCTAGGTCCTCACCGAGAAAAGATTTTTCGAAATGACCATCAGAGCATTTAGAATATTTCCTATAGTATTATTATTATTAACACGCTCTGATGCTAAGGAGTTCTACTCCCCTTCCCCACCTGAAAAGAAACCTGCTCCAAGTGCAAAACACAAGCAGGGGAGAGGAGTTTCAGTTTCACAGCACCAAGCAGCTTTAGTACAGAACAGTTGAGCTAAGCCACGCCCAGGCTCCTTGCTGTCTCTTTCTTGCTCACACAGCAAATACTGTTTCAGTTTCCAAACAGCCCTCAACTCTCTCACACACTGACTGGACGCTAGCCAGATTAATACTGATAGATGCTGGTAGGCAGAGGCACAATTTTTTCCCCTTATTTTCCTCCCCGACAACTAAGCCCAACCACATAGTTTCATAGCGAAGCACGCGTATCAAGCTAGTAAGGAATAAAAGGCTCCCACTCCAGTTAAATTCTTCAAACAGGAGGCCAGGAGGAAGAATCTCCAGGCTGTGACTTAATGAATTAAGTCCCACTCCGGTTATAATAAACCCTAATCATCTGCAGCTTAACCTTGTTTGTGAATTATGGCTTGTTCAAGGGGGGGAGTGAATTACAACATTTCGTTTTTTACATACAAAAAGAGTTTTCCATTGGCCAAGCAGCTGTGTAAGACCTTATACTACGGCCCTGCACCAAGGATTCA